TTTTTTTTTTTTTTTTTTTTTTTGGTATGGGGGATTGAACGCAGGACCCTGCGTTTGTGAGGCAGGTGGCAGAGTCATAATTTTTTTAAAAAAATAATGGAGCTGAAGCAAAGAAAGATGAAAAATGTGCTTAAGCCACCGCTTGCATATAGGCTCATCTTATTAAAACTTGAGTTACCCTGGTCTGGCTCCTTCATGGGTGCAAACCACAAGTTCCTGAGCTCTGCCTGTCCACAGTCTATGTCACCATGACCCTCTCTGCTTCTTGTCATGAGGCCTTCAATACTGATGAGTTTCATTTCAATTATTGTCCCTTTCATCTCTAACAATAACCCGCCCGAACACAAAAAAAAAAAAAAAAAAAAGAGGGAGAGAGAAGGAAAGAACAATTGCTTATAATGCCACCTCCCAGAAATGCCACAAATGCCAGAAATTTTAAAATAATTCTATAGCCTTTTTTTCTGTGCATTTTTATATAGATGCACTCATATTACAGTGAAGTTTTATACCTGCTTTACCTAAAAGCTGCAAAATGTCTCATCATCTTGATGTGTCATCATTTACTTCTTTTTTTAATCATTTACTTCTTAAATGGGAAATTTAAGTTGCTTCCCACTTTTTGCCAAAATAACACTGTGATGAACATTTCTAAATATAAATTATTGGTTTCATTTCTAATTTAGCCTAAGGATAAATTCATAAGAGTGAGATTACTAAGCCAAAAAGATAATGACTGTGAAGCAGATATTTAATGCATATTGCCAAAGTACCTCCCAGGAAATTTGCAAAAAATGTCAATCACTGTGAGAAATCCAGTTTGGCCACTCTTGGTATCATCAAGTGTTTCTAACTACAGATTTGATAGGAAACACATAGGTTTTATTACTTGACACGTCTTTGAATGCACTAGGAAAAGTATAGATTACTTTTCATGACTAGTTAACCACTTTGCATTCTTTTGTTACTTTTGAGGCTTGTTTTTAATGGAGTTTAATATTTTAACTGTTTGCGTGAACATTTTACGCATTAGGTATATTAGTCAGTTCATATTTGTTAGACCATGCTTATTAACTTCCATGCTCATTAACTTCATTTGTGTTTTGTGTGAGAACAGAAATCTACATTTTTTAAACAGTGAAACCTGTACAATTTTTATTTGCCTTTAAGTTCAAAATATTCTTTCTTATTCTTAAACCAAATATGTATTTTGTCTAGATTTTTTTTTAATGTTTCTTTTTGAGTGCATGTGAAATTATGGGGAGAGAGGTGAGGACCTTTTGTTGTGTTTTTCTCCTTTTTCAATTAAACTTATCAATTGGTTGAGCATTGGTTAATAAGAAACTCTTACAGGTCTCAAACCAAATGTCTTTCTGCAAAGAGATCTTCCCTGACCCTTTAATATGGCATCATTGCTTTTTCTTGCCAATTTCCCTTCCTTGCTTCACTGTTTATTTTCTTTCCATAGCTTTTCAAAGTGTGTAATTATCTTTTTTCAACATGTTTAGTGTCTGGCTCCTAAGAAGCTTGAGAGCTCAGTCAAGGTGGCATCTGTTTGCCCAGGGTGTCTCTGGCTAATACAGGGTCCCTGGTTCAAGGGGTTCCCCCAAAATGGGCCTTGGTGGGGTGACAGGTGAGACTCTGGCCTCTGCAGTGGGAGAAGGTGATGAGTCAACGGAACAGCTGTAGATCTGGAGTAGAAGCAGCACCGACTTCTAGCAACACTGATCCTCCAACTGCTTTGGGCATGGTGAATCTCAGCCTTCCATGATCGGGCTGGTACAGGTGGCCAGTAAAACCCAAATAAGCAGCAGCCCCCAGTTTACAGTCATTGTCACATTTCTAGAAAGTATTTTTTATCCCTTGCAATTTCTTTTTTTTTCCTGGTATCAGGAATCAAACTCAGGACCTTGTGCTTGCCAGCCAGGTGAGGCACCACTGAGCTAAATCCCCAGCCCCTTGCAATTTCATATAACCTTTTTTCTCAGCTTGAGTTATCTGCTAGAGAAATAAACACTCAAACTCAAACAACTGAACAGATGGCACATCAATATTAATGGAACTGTGTAAGCATCTATTTCAATGGCTTGTCACCCAAGTGGGGTCCTAAACCCACAGGTCTGACTGTATGTCTCAGTCTCACAGTGTTGTTCTGTTTCTGCTGCTAAGCTGTTTTTATTTGCCTGGGAGAATTAAGTAGATCTAAACACTGCAGTGTCCATGACACACTTGGTGTTAGGCAGGGCCACCACTGAGCACGTTGGACAATCCAGGGAGCCGCCACCAACTCACACATCCAAGAACCACTGCTGTTGCCCAGCTTTGAAAAATTAGAACCTGGATTCATATTTCTGCCAAAGGAAATATGACACATTTCCCTTTCTTCTTCCCTTTTTATTTTTGTGAGAGCCACACCCAGACCATGAATACACTTAATCTTAAATGTGTTCAGCCAGAAAGACTGAAGCCAGAGCTGGTGGCCTCCGCTGACAAGAAAACATCTCTCCTGGCTCCCCATCAGAACTTATTGTTCTGACTTCATTTTCTCCCGAGTGTCTCCTTCCACTTGTGCTGCACACCCACTCCTCAGTCTCTATGCCACTTCGCCTTGGTTACCTTTTTCTCCCCGGCATCACTGCTTCCTCATCATGACCAGAGCAGATGTGTGATACTCAGCATGACTCACTTTTGCAGATATTAACTTGTGTCCGCCGTGAGACACAATGTGACAGGCAGTGCACTGCGGAAGGCCATGTGGGGTGCAGGGTGTGACATAACATACCCAAGGCCACAAGACTCAGAGTGACAGGACGGACTGAAAGAGGTGACGGAAGGAGACATACGACTACCTGATTGGGGGCAGTCTCTGCTGGCACTCCATTCCTCTCCACTGGTACATTAAGGATTTCTGGAGCACTTAGCAGATGGCATGGATTTTCCACTGCAGGGTGCTCTACCCTGGGGGAGAAGGCAAAGTCCTGGGGACAATATAAGGACAGAGGCATAGAGTTGGGGAACTCGGGTAAATTCAGGGAAAACTAAGCAAGCCCAGCTTGATAAAGTCTGCTGCCTGAATACCACTAGACATTCAGGTAAGAAGAGCAAATCGAAGACAACTCAGAATGAGGGGGATTTGATTTGTTTTTATGTAAGATGCAGTAAAGAGGAATGTTGTTGGGATCCTAAATGTTGGAGTAAGAATATACTAACTAAAGCCATGATTAGGAGAGTGACAAATTAGAAGTTATAGCTAGGCTTGGTGACAGATGTCTATAATCCCAGGACACCAGAAGGCTAAGGCAGGAGGATTATAAATTCAAGCCTAGCCTGCACAATTTAGCAACTTAGCAAGATCCTGTCTCAAAATAAAACATTTTTTATAAAAGGAGCCTGGGATGTAGCTTAGTGCAAAGGTCTGAGTTCAACCCCAGTATCACAAAAAAAAAAAAAAAAAAAAAAAAATAGAATGTATAAATAAGCGTATGATCAACAGACATATAATGTTTAGCTAAGAGGTATTTTAGCTGAAGTGAAAAAGACCCAGTTGTGCCTAAGCTTGGAGATTGGAACTTTGAACCTCCCTCTACGGACAGGAGCACCGTGTACTGTGGGTCCTTGTGAATTTCATCTTGACTCTTCAGCTGAAGCAAGGGAGAGGTGCTTTGGCATCTTCCGCGTGTGAGCAGCCCTTCCCAGTGCCTCTCACAGGCAGGCGTGCTCAGTCGGAGCCAGGAGGGCGCCAGGCCTGATTTGCTTTTCACATCTCCACATCTCCATCTGGTATCCAGGTGCACAGGGTGGAGACGCCCTGTAAGCCCCACAGCCAGCCAGAGGGGTATTTAATGTAACAGGCTGCCAGAAACTAACCGCCCCTCAGCCACGCTCTCAGGAGAGGTTCCCTCTGAATATGAGCCTGAGAAGAACATAAGTTAGAATTAAATGATACAGTGTGCCTCGTTCAGCCACACGACCCCACCCCCACCCCGGTCTTTTATTAGGCTGATCACCTAAGGAAGAGGCTTAAGCAATCAAACAAATAAAAGGCTACCTCCAACTGATCTTCTGATGTTATCTGGATACCTGCCTTGCATTCCCTCACTGGGCATTTGCTCCCCTTCAAGCAGAATCTTTTCTCCTCAGGCCATATCACCCTGTAGCTGGCAGTGACTATGGCCAAACCCACACATGGACCTGGAGTGCCAGAGGCCCCTGTGCAGCAAAAGAATTCTGCTTTACTCTGACAGTTTGCAGCCTTTATTACAAAGGACTCACACAGACTGACAAAGAATAAATCTCAAAATGTGTTTAAGAAGAAAACAGCAGATAGCATTTCACAAGGGAAGAAATATAGACTGTTGCCAAACAATTGAAAATATTAAACTACTATACTAATTCTGGAAGGAAAATTAACAGTGACTCATCCATCGGCTGTCACCAAGACTTAGGAATACGCACTATTACAGAGGATGTTATCTCATCCTTTGCACATTCTCAAATAAAATGTCTCAGGCCTGAAGTCCTGGCTACTCTGGAAATTAAGGCAGGATGGCGGCTTGAGCCCAGAAGTCTAAGGCCAGCTTGGGCAACATAGTGAGACCCTGTCCCTAAAAAAAAAAAGCTAAGTAAAAAGAGTGACAGTCATTCTCTTCGGCTGCTCTGGAAGAATAAACTGATTCATATATTCACTGTAGCACTATATTATTAAATAATGTCATAAAATATAATCTGTAAAAACTATAGACTATGATGTGACTATGATATATTATTTAGGAAACATTTCTAATGACATAGAGAAATGTTTATGCTACAATGGTCTTCACAAAATGAAATGCAAATGTATGTATATGATCCCATCTACCCTCTTTTCTTGAAAATAAGACCTGTCTGGAAAATAATCAGCCTTGAAAACTAGAGATGAAAAACACCAGCCCCATCAGCCCATCCCTGTCTTTCCTGCCGTCACTGTTCTCTTGCAGGGTGGCTACTCTGTGAGGCAGATGAGGGAGGCTGATGGGGCTGGCATTTTTCGGCTCTAGTTTTTAAGGTTGATTATTTTCCAGCTAAGTCTTATTTTGGGGGAAATACTAGGTATGCAAAGGAAATGTGCTAAAAGATTGGTTACTTCTATGGTCAAAAGTTGTAAATGATTTTTTAGTCTTTTCTGTAAAAGCCTGCTCTTCACATATTTTTCTAGTTTTCTGCAATCAGCATGATTACTTTATTATAAACAGGAAAACGTTCATCTAAAAATGGCCATAGTGACTCAGAGGTCTCTCCTTTTGCCCTCTGCAGGAAGCCAGGATTATTATTAAAGGGAATGAAAAAGCTCATTGTCGTGAGAACGTGATTGCCAGGATTGCTAAAAACCAAAAATACAGGGCAGGTTCTTGGGGCAGCAAGTTGCAAGGTTTCCAACCAAGTATCAGATACTGTCCCTGTAAAATGTTCGGGGGAAGAAGGACTGGTCTCCAACCCTCCCCACCAGAGGTGCTGGAGATGTCTGTGTAGCCCACAGGAGAGAGCCAAGCAGGCTGCACCCTGTGGAGCTGGTGTGGAGGGCAAAAGAGCTGGGCCTCAGCAGAGGGCTACAAGTCTAGTTCCGCAGACAGTGGAGAAGATCAAGCACCAGGCACAGGAGCTGGGACTTAATTCTGCGCGCAGATGAAGAGAAAAGGGGAGGGAAGCAGAGACTCTCCTTTCTCCACAAGCCTCGTCTCGCACCATTTGGCTCTAGTTTTATTTTGCTTCATTCCATTCAAAACCTCCAAAATGTCAGTTGAGAGAAAATGAGGAAGTCAAAAACAAAGGCTTCCAGCACCCGGCTAGGAGCTGCAGCATGAGACGGCCGACGAAATCTCACTTCCTAGAAGCCCATGTTCACTTTTTTACAGTTGAGCTCCATCTTCATATAAACAATGTTATATAACACAATTTCAACAGGATGAACAAGAGGGATCATTTTTAAAAGTACCCAACGCCCATCCTGGGTGGTTCCAGGACACTGTGAGCAAGACAGGCCCTATTTCCTACAGCACAGTGTGAACGGCGGTTTCCACCCTAGCAATCAATCCACGCCACGTCCTAAAATGCCCAACCATTAAAAATACAAGCATAGGTTTTTACAGTATTTGTTTGAATTGTAAAATCCTACAAAATATGTTGGGGATTCTTCCATACCATTGGCCAGACTGTTTAAATTTGTCATTCTATCAGTCTAGTAGCCAGTAACTAAAGCCACTTTTTAATTTTAATAGGCCCTTTTGTAGCAAGTCATTGCTTCAAGGATCTCCAACTCCATGCAAAGAAGGTTCTTCTTCCCCTTGGGCCTCAAAGCCTTTACCTGGTAAATGCCCCTGAGGGGCAGCTGCCAAGGCTTGCCCTGAGACAGCTTCTGCTTCCGTTCTGCGTCACTGCTGAGCTTCTCGGGGTGCGGGGAGCCACTGCAGGGGCCAGGTGCAGGTCACACACTTCAGGACCTTGTCTGAGCAGGCACCTGCTCACCGCCAGCCGCCACACCCAGGGCTCTGCCAAGACTGCTGAGAAGTCTCAGCTCTTGTGCCTGGCAGATTCGGGCCTGTGAATGGAGCCTCTCTCTGCTCTCCCTCCCTACCCACTTTCTCTCCTCTCTCAGCTCCCCTTCTCTCCTTATTTCTCTCTTCTCTTTTCTCTCCCCATCTCCTTTTTTCTCCCTTCCTTCTCTCTTCTTTCTTCCTCCCTCCCTCCCTCATCCTGGCCCCTTTCTTTCCACTTGGTCCCTTTCCGTTGTGCAATGTGGATGTACTATCTGGAGTCAGGCAGACACTCCAGCCGGCTGTGGGAAAGCAGGGCAGTTTGTGGAGGACAAAGCTGGTCCACAGCATCCACGCCAGGGCCACCAAGGCCACACTTCACTTCACTGTTGAGCCCACCTGACGCCCAGGCCGAGGCTCACAGGACACCACTCTGAGCCGCCAGCCCAGGGCCTGTGCCTCACAAGACGTGAGCTCTGGGTTCTTTGCCATCCTCCATGTGAGTGGCTCTTTTATTCCTACTGGAAAGCATACTCAGGTAAAGGCACAACATTCACACTACTGTTCTAGAGGCCAATTTGAGAAAAATCCTTCTGTATAAAAAAAAAAATTTTTCTAAAATAATGAGAACATAATGAAACAGGCACTTTTCTATATACCCAGAAGGTCTGCAATTAGCAAGTTTTCTGTAGGTTAGTTCGGCAATATGAGAGGCACACTACTCTTGACCCAGACTGTGATTTTACAGATCTAACCTTTGGAAAAATCATATTCCAGACAGGAGGCAGCTTCACCATGGCAACAGTGGAAAATGGAAACAACTTGTCAGCTAATAGTGCAATGGCTGTGATATGAAATTTTATGCAAGTGCTAACTAAGCTTTTGAAGAATAACAGCTTTGAGAAATGTTCACAATATTCAGTGAAAACAGTATTATGTTCAATACTATGATTATCTGAAAATATATCAGCACTTAAGAAAAATATTGGTGGAATACTAACAGCAGTTCTATGTGCAGACTGAGAAAAAAGGCTATTTTTATTTTGCAGTTCTGCGTTGGAACCCAGGGCCTCACACACAACTAGGCAAGGCCTGTACCAGAGTAACACCACCAGCCCTTTTATTTTGAAACAGGATCTCACTAAATTGCACAGCTGACCTTGAACCTGCAATCCTCCTGCCTCAGCCTCCTGAGCAGCTGGAGTTGCAGGCATTCGCCACCATGACGAGCTTAAAAATATCTCTTACAGTATATATTAATCAGAATCATTATCAGAAAAAATTGTATACATTTTAACAGCAGTGAATGCTACGATGTGATTTCATCCCAGGTGATAACCTGTTTGCCCTGTAATGAGCCTGAGAGAGAGCCAGGTGACAATCAGCCCAGGCTGATTCCAGTGAGCTGCAGAGCTTTACAAACACAGTCAGGACTTGACTGAGGTGTGACCTACCCAGGAGAAGCTCTCACAGCTCTCCAGGTGGTCGTGGCAGCCGTGGTGAGCCACACTTCTGGATCTGCAGCACTGTCCCCCACCTTCGGGTCCCCAGCAGTGGGGATCGGAGAAACTCCCTCACAGAGCTCCAAATGCCTACTCTGTTTAGGCTGCAGCAGGGCCTTCGGCCCAGGGCCCTTCCCTCAGCCGATCCAGTGCAGGACTCTCAGGCAGTCCTGGCTGCTGGCAACCAGGTGGGGGCAGAGTATGGGGAGTTTTGCCCTGGTTTTTAATGCAGTACCTGGAGGGGGATGAAGGAGCAGCAGCTGGGGAAGACGGAAAGCTGGACATTCACTGGTGTGACTTCCCCACAGGTCCCCTGCAAAGGCCAGGAGAGATGGCTGCCTCCAGGGCACGGCGAGGTGAGCACCTGCCCTTCGTGGGCATAATGACCCTCGTGGCTGTGGTCATTGCCCTACTATTCTACACGCTCCTCTGGAAGGCCGGCAACTTCACAGAGCTGCCCAACCTCAGAATCGGCTTCTACAACTTCTGCCTATGGGATGAGGACATCGGCTCCCTGCGGTGTCACCAGTTCCCAGAGCTGGAGGCCCTAGGGGTCCCTCGGGTCGGCCTGGCCCTGGCCAGGCTTGGCGTGTACGGAGCCCTGGTGCTCACTTTCTTTGTTCCACTGCCTCTCCTCCTAGCCCAATGCAATGGCAATGAGGGGGAGTGGCAGCTGGCGGTGGGCTTCCTGGCCACATCCTCCATGATGCTGGCCAGCGGCCTGGGCCTCTTCCTCTCCTTTGTGTGGAAGTGGACTGGGCTCTCCCTGCTCGGGCCTGGCTTTCTCAATCTGGTCCTGGCCCAGGCCTTGCTCATCCTGCTGCTCAGGGCAACCATCCTGTACCGTCCAAGGACCAAGGTGGACAAGACCAAGCTTGAGGCCTGCTAGTCCTATCTAAAGGCGGAAGTGATTGCAAGGGTTCATCCCAGCAGTGCTCCAAGCAGATGCCGGAGAAGCATGGGCTGGCCCTTCTTCCCGGACACCTTGTTTCATAGCTAACGCTGATCTCAAGCTCCAGCAGACAAACGTCCATGGAGCACATAGGGCCCAGGGTCCAGGAGACCAGAACAGTTGGGGTGCTGGGGCGCCGCAGCTTCTTAGTATAGGACTGTGTCCTTCCGAGGACACCCTAGAACCACGCAGCTCAAGGCCACATGGATTCTCGCTATCATTAACCCACCTGGGTGATTCTTGCTCTAAACTCAGGACAAGAGGGAAGGAGTCCTGTGACGGGGAGATTTCCAGACTGATCTGCCAAATCACCAGACTGCAGCCCAGTGAAGGCTGATGGCAACTAAGGGGACCATGCTATACTGAGAGCACCTCGTGTCTCCAGGGCCCGGCTAGCAAGTGCCTGCTCCTGTTCTGTGCAAGTCACTGTGTGGGCCACTCCAAGGACTCCCCTTCCAAAGGCCCCAGAAGGACCCTGGAGGGATCCAACAGTGGAACATGCAGGGCCTGATGCAGATACAGCAGGGGTCAGCTGGCCAACCACTACCACTAGGTAACCCATGAGTTTGGAGAGAAAGTCGCAATGCTTGGGCAGGAGAAGGAAACTGAATGGCTCCCCTGGCGCTTCTCTAGCCGGAACCGCAAAGGAGAGAAGCATAACAACTCATGTGTTGGGAGGATTTTGTATATTTTTCAGTACCTACAGATTAGAATGATTTCCTCATTCTATACCTGTCTAAAGCTGCACTGAATACAGAGACAGAAACACAGGCTCTGGCATGGTCTTTTGTCTGTAGTCCATCCTCTGTGCTCCTGTCCTACTCTCACTTCACAGGAAGAACGGGGGAGGCCTATCTAGCTCACCCATCTGCAGGGCAGCCCTGGTGCTTGGCATCCCCGACACACAGCCTTGGGACAGAGGCTGTTTTTAACACAGGCCTCCCCTAAGATTGTGCTGACTAAACTCTACGAATTCCAATGTACTCTGTGGCCACGCTCCTCCTTGAAAAGTATTAGGTTCCGGTAAGCTGAACCCCATGGCCTCATTTCCCCTGGAACCTGGTAACTGCACAGGACAGATGGCTGGGATTCCGGACTTGCTGAGCCAGAGGCAGGCACAGTGTGGGAGGAACTCAAGTCTCCAAGGCCCAGGGTGTCCCAGGCTTCTTAGCTACAATGACTCAACCAGGTCCGGGGAGGCAGCCCTAGCTGTGCCCAGCTTCCCTCAGCAGAAAAGCCCAGCAGGCAGTTCATCCCTTAGCTGAAAAATATCTCCCTGACATATTTGAACACATCCTCCACCTCCTGCTGCACCGGGCTCCTGCTATAGGCAGAGGTGGACGTCTCCAGCCTCTGGGAAGGGCTGAGGCCCAGGGCCAGCCTGTCGTTCCCACTGTCCTCTTCCTCGCTGTTGCCACAAGAGCTCGAATGAGGAGACCCAGATACTGTGGGGCAGAGCTCAGTCTTCTCTGCATCTGCCACAGCTGGCTCTTCCCAGGGCTTCTGGGTGCGGCCCTGTGGAGCAGCAGAAAAGGCAGGCTCAAGCACGAATCTCATTTCCTAAAGTCCCAGTTTGTCTGTCAATGACACAGGACACACCCAAAGCAACCGCAAAGCCAGTGGGTGACCAGGCCAGGGACTGCTCCCACCTCACAGTCAGCTACCCTCTCTTCACCCCACACTAGCTCCTCAGGCTCATGAAGAAATCAGGACCTAGTAAGGGGGGAAGCAGGCAGGGGTGGGAAGAACAGCTGAATACAAAGAAAAAGAAACAAACAGAATAACATGGCTGGAAAGGCAGAGTGAGAGAATGGAAAGGGCCCAAGTTACAAAACCTGCTATGGGCCCAAGGTCCCTTGCAGAACTAAGACAAGTAAGTCCCTGTGTCACAGTTTCTTGGGAATAATAGTTGTATATTAGTATACCACAGGACTACTGTGAGGGTTCATGAGATAATACACTGAGTAAAAGCATCTGGCAAACCATAAAGTCCTACACAACCCTAAGGTGGTACTACTATTCATACCTCAAGAGTGAGAAATGCATAGCGTTCTGCTAAGGAGATGGTGCTCCCCCAGCCAGGCCCCATTCTGAGAACATGACAGGGAACGCTTCATGTAACCTCCACATATATTCCAGGTTACACAGTCACCCCAAACGCTGTCCCTTGCACCCACCCTGCCCGGGACCTGGCCCTGAAGGGTCACCTCACAGGGCGCACACCCCAAGCGAGGAAAGACTGAGGGCAGCATGGCTGAGAAAGGAGCAGAGGCTACTGTGACCAAGGGCCTCAGCTGGTTCTGCCCGTGAACTTCAGTCTACTGAAGAAGGGACACAGTGCCTCTACCTCAATCAGGATCCCCAAGGCCACATCCACCAACTCAGCCTCATTCATGCAGTACACGGTCTTCGCTTCAAGGCGTCTGAAAGACACAAGCCACAGAGGGTCTCAAGTCCCAGAGGAGAAAGGAAATGAGCCTTCCCACCAAGGACAAGCACAGCCGTACCTCTGAAGATGAAGGGCTTCCGCCAGGCCCAAGCATGATTTCCTCATCCTTGTGGCCTGGTGACAGGCATGGGGTTTCCCACCATCCACCAACTATATCCCCCTGCAGGGACCTGGGTCTAGGGGATGACAGCTGGCTCCTGAGTCACCCATGTAATACAAACAAGGGATGGGAGCAGATCCAGGCCAGCAGGCTAAGCCTTGACCCCCAACAGACCTGGACTTAAAAGAGCCGGAGAAGGTAGTGCTGAGCCCCGCCCAGGACAGCAGCAGGGACGTCCCCTCCCACTTGATGAGGCAGCCAAGATCCTCCTGCCCCCACTACCACCCCAATGAACCCGCCCCACAGCTTCTGACTTTCTGCCACTCCACCTTCCAGCCCCAAGCTCTGTCTGTGGAAAGAGCAGGCAGACCAGTGCCCATCCACCTGATGTTTTTGTTGTAAGTGAGGAGTGGTGTTTTGGACAACTGGCACCTGAGCACCTGAACCTACTGTCTGTGCTGACTGACCATGTGGGGCCTGGCAGGAGAGGCACAGGTGGATGATGGGACAACACTGCTCACTTCCCAAGAACTCAAGGGCACACGGTCCACTTTGGTGGCCCCCAGCCATTGACAGTCCCCTCCCAGTCCTCCCCCAAAGTGCCCTGTCCAGAGTTTGTCCCACCTTGCTGCCACTGCAGCCTCCACCATCCTCCTCTTCTTGGGGGTCTTCGATGGCACCACCCTCCTCTCGGCCACCTGGGCTGTCATCCATGAGGGAAGGACTCTCTTTTTGGTCTCAGATTTTAATGTTTCCATCCCTACGGTTTCCCACAAAGTGGAGTCAGGCCCCAGGCTTACTGAGCTGCGTCTTTGATTAAAAACAGTGAATCCCACTGTCTCATCACACCAGGAGTTAGAGGCCTAGGTGTCCCAAGTGGTAGCCGACCATTAATGCCTACAAAGAAGAAAGTCTGGTGAGTCCATAGCCAGCACCCTCCCGTCAGCCACAAGTCCAGCAGACTCAGGTGGGAAGATGGGTGGCAGGAGGATGGGTCAGGGAGACAAATCCAGTGCTCCACAGGCAGCAGACTCAGCCGGAAATGCCTCCCAGAAGCCACTGCCCCTGAGGTAGCATTCCCAGGAAGTGAACTCACTGGTGTCCCCTCGCCTCAGCATTCCAGCCAATCCCACCCCCAAATTATGGACCATGATGCCTGCCTCATCAGACCACCCAGACTTTTCACTTCCTGCATAGTAACGGGTCCGGGAACCCAAGGCCACCCATCCAGTAGTTTTAATGGCCAACGCCCTCACACCTTGACCTGAAGACACTTCCGACCGGTCACTTCTAACCCACCAGAGGGGTCAAAAAGTCTAGTTGTGCCTGGCTGTCCATTTGTGCAGAACCCTTCCCCTCTCCAAGATGTGGAACTTGGCGTCCCTTTCTCTCCGCTTAGCCTTCAGTACTGAGCTCAATCCCTACCCAGGGAAAGGGCTAAGACTCAATACTCAGGCTGAGTCTCTACCTTTCTCTTAGGAACTGGATGCTCCCGCCTGAGAACATCATCCCCAGGCAAGAGTAAAAAATCCTCCTCTTAATTTGGTGACCGTTTATAGCTCGTCCATAATGGCTGCCCAGAATTTAGGAAAAAATTAGACCATCGTCCTAATCCATCTAGCCAGAGAACAGATCTGTGCCACTGTCTCCGGTTCTGGAGAATTCGGACGCTGGTGAGTCACTCTGACCAGCTAGTAAGCACACAGCGCTGCCTACTGGGTACAGAAACTTAAGTCCTTTGCACACAGGAGGAACTGAGTGTTAAGCTTGCACACGGTCACAAACATTGAGAAACCAAGTTGGTGTAATCTCAGCAAACTAGGCGGCTGAGGCAGGAGGACAGCAAGTTCAAGGCCTGCTCGGCAACTAAACTACAGCAGCTCCAGTCTCAAAATACAAAGTAGAAAGGGCGGTGTACGCCACTCAGTACAAAGACCCTGGGTTCAGTCCCCAGTAATCTCCTCCCCCAAGCTGGAACTCGGCCACACAATATGGCGCCGTCCCCTGCAGTCCGAAATCCCCGAGCTGCCCCTAGCTCCTGGGCTTCCCGCGCCCGCGCGTACCCGTCGCTCGCGTGGGGCTCCGCCTTGCGCCCGGACCGGCCTCGCTGTTACCCCGCCGCATCCGGCCGTGCGCTTCTCCCGCCCTTCCGCCTGCGCTCGCGCGCCCCCTGCAGGCTGCACTGTGTCCGTCCCTCACTGAGTCCTTTCTTAGGAGAAGGTGGGCTTTTGCAGAGCTCCATCCCCAGCCCATTTATGTATGTATACATGTATTTATTTACGATGCAGGGTTTTGCTAAATCATTAAAATTTCCCAAGCTGAGCTCGAACTTGCCGTCCTCCTGCCTCAGCCTCCCCCAGTTCTGGAATTACAGGCTTGCGGCAGCATGTGCGGCCGGCACCAGGTTCTTAACTAGAGCTGCAGACGCGACAGAAGGCGCACCTTGTTGGAGAATGAACGTGACCATTCCCAAACCCCTGATCAACAAGTAGGGTAAAGGACGGGGTTTGGGGTTGTTGAAGTCCCGTTGGGGAGCTCCCGGAAGCCAAAGTCAGCGCTCCCGACGCGTAAGGCAGCGCGGTGCACGGAGAGGAATTGAGACCCGGTGCACAGCTGCTGTCCTCATCAATGCGGGCGTCGCGAGAGGACTCTTCCCTGCCACACTCCCGCAGTGCTCAGCGCTGTGCTGAGCACTTGGCGTTGGCGCCAAGGAAAATCCCACTCGTGGCTCAGAGGAGTCTAAAAAGGACCAAGAGAGAACCCCCTACTGGAAACGCCACGTCCACAGCCACAGGGGATCCCGTCCCTGCACTTGGAGAGCTAGGGGTGACCACACCTGGCCGGCAGGTTTTGACCCCAGTGAGGAGTTAGGGTACTGAGTGAGATTTACCGAATAACAGCAGCTGTCAGAGGTGCCGGAGAGCCTGATATACATTTCCCCTGAGCCAGCGGAGCCAAGACGCCCTTGCCCTGGGGAAGCGCCCTCCGGCTCTTCCGCAGGCTGATCCTCAACCCCAGGCAAAGTTGAGTTAGGGCTCAGTGTGCTGCCAAGTCGGTGGTCTGGGGTAGAAGCAGGCTGCCCCAACACCACCACAGTCCAGCGCCACTATGAAGGCATCTAAGTGACCAAGATGTGTCTAAGTGACCAAGAGTCCTCTGGCCCTAAGTCTGGAGAAGTCTTAAGGAGCAGGGGAAGAAGCACGGAATCCTCCTAGGGGGGCGGGGGGAGCTGAAAAACTGCTGTTAGTGGGACTCATGTCATCTGGACAAGGCCACCCCCCAAAAAGAAATTCAAAGACAGAAAAAGCAAATGCTATGATAGGTACAATGGAAACGGCTCGAGGACAGACAGGTTTCACACTGACCACTGGACTGTCTTTTTTGTTTAATTGGGGTGAACTTAGCACAACCTAGATTCAACCACTTTAAAATCAATGTTTTGGTCTGGGATTGAAGCTCAGTGAGAAAGCACTTGCCTAACATGCATGGGCCCTAGGTTCAATCCCCATCATTGCAAAAACTAATTCTTTAAGAAAGCAAAAAAAAAAAAAAATGAGGCCCAAGAGCAGGCAACTCAAGTGTGTGCAGATGCCTTGTTACAATCCAGGAATGGTGGCGCACACCGGTGATCCCAGCACTCTGGGAGGCTGAGGCGGGAGGAAGTTGGCAAGTTTGAGCCTAGCCATAGTAAAATCCTGTCTCAAAAATAGAAAATGAAAAAAAGGCTGGGAATATAGCTCAGTGTGAAGGCAGTTCAATCCCCAGCACAAAAATAAAAGAGCCTTGTTTCAGCGAGAGGTCCCAGGCAGGGGTAAGGGACCAAGCTATGGCATTTACATGTACTAGAATCCATACCAGCAGCATTGGAATTTTAACATTTTTTATTTTTTAAATTGATAGATAAAATGTTAGGTGCTGACTGTGTGAGGCAACACAATGCACTAGGCTGAGTCGGTCCACAATGTGTGTGTTGTACTTCCAGGCATCATAATGAGCCCTGCCCATTTGAATGCCCAGGGGCTGGATTTGGGCCCGAGCCTGCAGGCAGAATGCAGGCAGGTATCTGAGGAAGAAAGAGAGGCAGAAATGTATCCTCGAGGCTCCAGGCACAGGCCAGGCCAGGCCAGGGTGGGTGGCCAGCACCAGGCAGGTACAGAGGGGACATGGGCTTTGCCGCCTCAATCCCATCACTCCAGATAAGGAGGGAGCATGCTGGGGCTCTTGGGTGGATGCAGAGCCAGTGCACTGAGGGAGAGGTGGAATTCTACACACTGCATCTGAAGATGAGCACTTCTACGAGGGCGACCGGTCAGGGAAGAAGACCAGGGCTTCAAGGGTTCCGGTGGAGCTCTAACCCGTAGGGACAGTCAGCCAGCTGTAGGCATGCGACACAGAAACTGTGAGGAGGGGAGTCTTGCATTCAGCCCAAATGAAAGCCAGGGTCATTGGGTGAATGTCCTTCAGATCACTGGGTGGAACAGATGAGGCTGCTGTTTCAGTGCTAAAGATGGAAGAATGTGAGTGGAAAACACTGGGTTTTCTTTGAGGGGCTAAAATGGCTGAAAACGGGCAACTACTTACTGCTAAGACCCTGATGTTTTCTCCCATCATCTACACACCTAGTACTTCTTACCTTTCCTCAGCTGTAACAGAGGGGAGCCATGGCCTTAGGACCTTTGTGCTTTTCCAAGAGTAGGTACCCAGGAAAGTCCCCATGCCAGCCCTGTGCTCTCAATGACTGTTTCAGGCAGCTCAAGCAGTGGCCTTCTCTGGGTAAGTGACAAGGTCACCCTTCCGGTATGGGAACCCCAAGCCCAGGCCCTGGCCCTTCAACCCCATGGTGCCTGCTACAGGAGCCCAGCCTCAGCTGTGGAATGCAGGAGGGACAGGATGGTGGTTCCCCACCTGTGGCAAATCTGCCTCTTCAGGGTACCAGGCCAGGGAGTTGGGTGCAGGCCTAGGGCAGGGGTGCGGACACAGCTGGCCCAGGCTCAGCTCAGACCCAAGAGTGGGAAGGAAATCCTCGTGCCCTTCAGGAAACTTGGCCATTGCTGACTGTCTCGCTATTCACCAGCAGAGGGCACAGGGAGCAGGCACCATTCAGTCCCAACAATGCCAAGGTGAAGAATGAGAGTAAGACCCAGAGAGAGTCACTCATAACCACAGGCACCAGAGGCACATCCCCTACCTATCCTAAGTGGCTTCTGTCACAAATTCCACCAACTCTCAGGTAGTCAGAGGACATTCCAACTTTGCCTGGAGCCTGACAGAAACAGAACGCTGTGGGCCCCTGTCCTACCCCTGGCAAAGGCCCCGCGACTTGCAGGGCACAGGGCAAGGAGAGCTGATGGGGAAGTAAGGCCCACCATGGTCCCCAATCACAGGGAAAAGGGACACCAGCTGATGGCAAAAGCATTTTAAAAAAAAGACAAATAAACAAATATACACAGAATACTGTCACTCTCTCCTTGGCCTGCACAGCGCCCTGCGCTGCCTGTCCTCCCTGAGTTTTCCTTCTGGTCTCCGGGAAGCACATGTCACCCATCCCACAAGGCTCCTGTCCCAGTCACCATGGTGCACACTTGCTGGCAGGGGCTAGCAGTGGGCGTTCTGTCCCATCCTGTTGCCCGAGATGGTGCTAGTTCCATGCTCCCTTAGCCGCCTGTCAGACCTTGTGGGCCAGCAGTGTGGTCAGCTTGACCTTGCCATCCATAGAGGCAGTGAGGCAAGTCCCACAGTCCATGGCAGTGCTCCAGTCCACGGTGACCACAGGTGCCCGGTGGCCACCCAGGCTCAAGCAGCTCTCCAGGACTTTCTCATCACCTCCCAGCTGTAAGAGGCCAGGAGAGAGGGTGCAGTGTCAGCAGGCAGCATACACAAACACATCCATAGTATCCACTATGGCGGCCCAATACCTTGGGCCTGGGCTACCACCCTAACTGGGCAGATGGCCAGGCTCAGCACACCTATACAGTCTGCCTTACTTTCTGTACCAGAAGTCCACCTGCTGCCCTGACTACAGGACATAGCCCTGAGACACTGTACAGGAGCAGCCATTGCTGCAGGAGGTCCTTGGCCCACAGAGAGCTCTGGACAATAAAGTGCATTGAGGGAGAGGGAGCTGACTCTGTACCCTCTCTCCTGGCCTCTTGTAGCTGGGTGGTGTTGAGAAGTCCTGGAGAGCTGCTCGAGCCTGGGTGGCACCAGGTGCCTGTGGTCATCTTGGACTGGAGCACCACCACTGACTGCAAGACCCCAACACTGAGATGCTCCCTCTCCCTCGATGTACTTTCTCTGCCACCCAGAATGTGCCATGTGCCAGGACCTCCTACACCAGTGGCTGCTCCCAGCCCAACCATTCCCAACTCTTCTTTGCTCCTCCATGACTTCTAGAACAGGAAGTGTTCCCAAGGAGCAAGGGCAGGATAGAGCTTTGGCAAGGACAGAGAATGGACAAGCAGAAGCGGGTGCCTGGCGTCCTTCCCCTCCCCGCCTTCCTAAGAGGAAGTGAGAGGCAGCCTTTGAGAGGAGGTCTGCCCGCTGTATGCCCCATGTCAAAGGCTTCTCAGGGCTCTTTCAGCCTGGCATAGACTCAGGCCCCAAGGGAGGACCCCTGCCCCAACTCCCCACACAGTTACCTTATAGATGACGCCCCCTGTGGCAGAGCATGTCAGCATGTAGTTGCCCTCTGAGTCGAAAGCAAAAAGCCGGCCCCTGGGGACTTGCACCTGCTTGTAGCCGCTGTAACCAGACAGCACAAAGGGGCCCGTGGCGTCCGAGGGGAGGCTGTGGTCAGACACTTTCAAGCCACTCTTGTGGATGTTCCACTGAATAAACTGCAGACACAAGGCACAAAAGGATGCAGCTCAGCAAGGACCAGTGTGGGCCAGCAGGGAGGAGGCCGGGCCCACCCAGAGCAGGGCGGGACACAACAGCCTCCCTCTGCCAAGGCCCTGGCAGGCCAGAATGGGCTTTGCAAGCTCCAAAGGCAGAATAGGGGCTGGAGGTGATGGTCCACAAGCCGCCCCAAATCCCATCTCTTGCCAACACAATGCTTTTTGGAAGAAAATCTAGAAAAACAGTTAGCAACCTCATTTCAAAGTCCAACTCTTCCCTTCCCCTCTGGCCTGACCTTGGTGGGAAAATGGACAGCAGGCAGCTTTACCTAGCTCCCAGGCTCCCAAGCAGGGGAGGGGCCAAGTGTGTATTATTAATTATTATCAGATCTCTGACTGGGGACAAATTCCAAACCCGCTTCCAGTTCCTCAGGAATGCAACCCATCACACACTTCATTGGCTGTCCTGTGAATAACTCCTCAGTTTACCCTATAGACAAACTACTTGGTTATGACTACCTCTTGGCTGGGAATCCTACCCACATTAACAGAAAGCTAAGCTTTAACTTAAAAATCCCTTCCTATAGTTTTCAAATGAGGAATTGAAGCCAGGGTGCACACCTATCATTCTGTCTACTCAGGAGGCTGAAGGAGGAAGATCATTTGAGCTCAGGAGTCTAACGCCAGACTGAGTAACAATAAGACTTGAAGGAAAAAAAAAAAAAAA